AATTTGTTGAGTATGGTGATTGAGTTTTGTGTTGTTAGACATATTTTTGTGCCCAATATGGAGGATATTGTAGTATTGAGAGGTCGACCTAGGTGTGGAACTCTGCAGGTGACTTATTATCATCGCTTTTATGTCGATTTGTATTGTCATGTGATAGACTCAATCTTGCAAGAGTTCAATGATCGTTTTTCAGAAACAACTACTAAGCTCTTTACTTGCATTTCGTGTTTAAGTCCAAGAAATTCATTTGCAGCTTTTGATCAGGATAAATTGCTACGTCTTGCTTAGTTCTATCCTTTGGACTTCAGTAATGAAAAGCTTTTATTACTTACCTCAACTTGACAAGTTTCTTATGCTTGTGAGAATAGGCGAAGCTTTCTTTAACCTCAATAGCATATCTTGTGTAGCTAAGAAGTTTGTTGAAACTGGAAGTTACTGTTATTTTTCGTTGGTTTATAGGCTGATCATCTTGGTTTTGATATTACATGTGGCAACTGCAAATGTTGAAAGTGTATTTTCTGCTATAAATCTAATCAAGAGTGAATTGCGCAACAAAATAGGAGATGACTGGTTGAATGACAATTTGACAGTCTACGTGGAAAAAGATATTTTTATAAAACTTGAGTATGAGGCAATATTGTAACATTTTCAAAATATGAGACCCTATAGAATGCAGTTATCTAAGTTTACAGTTATAGAGTAGGATTGTATTTTTTTTTAGTATTTTAGGTTGTATTGAATTATATTTTCATATTTATATATTTTTTACATTTTAGCACATTTACATATGTATTGAAATTATATTTTTGGCTATTACGATCGTTGATTGTCAACGGTCATCGGTCACTGGTCACAGTCAACGGTCTCCGCCCTAACTGAACTACAATGCCGGATTCGCTCCTGATCTGGAACATCATATACCATCTTGGCCAGCCATTCAAGTCTTCAAAGTTCACAGCAGCCATAATCTTACTTTGTAACTTGATTAGCCAATATGCTTTGAAAGGCACAGAGAAAATAATTAATCCAATGAGAAGTATCAACCTCACAAGAACATCAAGACGCTGCATTGTGGAGAGAGATCAGTAATGAGCTATTGTACTCAAGCCTTCCTCAGTATTCCAGTTGATTCCTCGAATGTCATGAGCGTGCTTGCACTCCTTTCAACCTTGTGAACCATGAGCTGGTGATGAGTATGCTTAAACATCTCTGTGATGCTTTCGGTTGCAGAGGTCATTCTGTAGATTTCGCCTGGGAATTGCAGACTTTTCTACACCTCTCAGAAACAACTCGCTCTCTTTTCGAGCAGCCTTTTTTCATTTTTTCTTTGCTTGCAACTTAGCAATTCTTGGGCTTAGTTGAAGACTATATAAACCTCCACTGCTATCTATGTCTGATTGTGTTCATCTACCTCGATGTTCGGGAACAAGATTCTCATCTGTGTACGTGGTCTTGGCTTTCATAGTATCGACCACAGGGTTGGTGACCGCCGCTGCCACCTTCATTCAACTCCAATTTTAAAATCAAGACATAACTCGTAAATGTCTTTTCAATTAAGACA